GTTGGTGAGCACACACGATTCAGAACCTCCATAGTTGTTTGGTTCTCCTGCATTCCACAGCTTGAAGTTGAATCGAGACCCGTCAGACCAGAAGTACGTTCCATCCTTCTCAGCGTCAGACAGTCCAATCCAGTTGAATCCCTCAGCGGGATCAAAGTTTCTGATCAGCAGTTTGACAAAGTTATCTTCTTCCAGACTGTGGATGGACACCAGGTTGGCTCCTTGGGTCAGACAGTGCTGCTCTGCATCAGCCCAGGTCATCAAGGTGGCGATGTACTTGTAGCAGCGCTCATTGAAGCCGAACCAGAATGGGGGACAAGCGCTGTGCTGCACTTTCATCTCCTGTTTGTCTGAAGGAACCACAGCAGCCAGAGAGAGACCAAACATGAAGAACAGCAAAATCATCTTGGAGTCTGATGTTCTTGATTCTGAGAGATGTCAATGATTTGCTGGAGTTTGTCTGCAGGGATGGATGCTGAAGAGAGTTCTGGAGCGACAGGAGTTCACCTGTTCTCTTTTATATTTGTCAGAAAGGGCGTCTATCTTGTTCCTGTTAATGAGCTACTTTAATGATTATCTTCATTTCCATTAACAGCTGTCTTTCACAGGGACTCTTTATCTGTTTCTGTTCCATCAATCAATTTGGTTATCATTGAGATATCTTATTATTAGTAGCCTAACTGTGGGTTTTCTTTGTTACTCTCTGCTGTTAACGTGTGAATTAATAAAGTAAAATTTCATCTCTTGTATTCTACCCAATGTTTTTAAGGCAGCTTTATATGTAGTTTTGTACCTTCGTCTCTATAATCCATTTTAATCATCATAAATGTGCTGACATTAATCCAAGTCCAACCAAAGTGACCCACCTTGCAAGGTAACAGCTTGAATGTTTTGATTAGGACTCCTATCAAATTGTTTGTGGAAAGCCAAGGGCACAGCATCCAACAGCTGCATAACATTGCTGCAACATTGTACAGATGTAATAACTGACAAAGCTCTATCCAAAAACAAATTCTGTTCAGAATCTATTCGAACAGAATCCAGAAGAGATTACTTAAACATCTTAATTACCTTCAGTAAAGTCTGTGCGTAGGTTAGACAGAGAACTCTGTGCACTCTGAATATTCTTATTAATAATAGTATAATTAAAAAGAAGAAGAATTATAAATGTATTACATCTTATAGGCCCTATATAAGGGCTGTCTGTATATAATTTGGATTATATGTGGGTTAGCGCAAATACCAAATGCATTTATATTTGTGGAGATAGTTGCTGACCATTAAAAGGCTATGTCCTCATTTTATCATTTAAAAATTATCCAAGTCACATTTTTTTATCATTTCAGTAAAAATTGGGTAGCTGATCATTTTCAAAGCTCCTAATATTTTGTTGATGTATATTACATTTTTTGCTGCTAATTAAAATAATCTGCAGTTTTGCATGTTCTACATATTCCACAGAATAAACTCAATTCTTGATCAAACCATCTGTCATGAGAAGAATCTGGATAATCATCTGTAGAGCTAAAATGTAAAAACACCAAAATGAAAGAGACATTTGTTTTTTAATTGTATTAAATGTTAGCAAGTAGTATTTTTTGCATATGATCAGTTATTGTTTTAATTATTTTTTCTTTCTCCCAACAACACTGATACAGAAGGAAAACATTTATGTAAAAATAAGCAAGATCCTTATGCTCATCGATAGATTAGTGGGATAAGCCTCCATTAATTCCAGAATAAACACTTAATAAAATATCTAAAACATTGTCATATTCTCTTTAATAAGAACCACACAAAGAAAGCATTTTACAGTGGTTTATCACAAAGATTACATTGATGGTTGTATAAGACAGTTATAAGAAAAACAAATCACATTTGCAGAGATATGCCTTTCCATTTTGTTTTGTTGGAAAAAAATAGGTTGAATTTAAACTGAACAATCATCAAGAAATGCAACACAGTTACAATATTTTTATTATTATTTTTTTTTTGTCTAGGGACAAACTGTGCGAGTGGCGCAGACAAAAGCAAATTTAATTGAGCACCCACCATCGTTCCAGTAAAAATTGCTCCCATAGTTGGTCACTCCACAGTTTTCATTTCCACGATAATTGTCAGGCTGTCCAGAATCCCAGCGGGAAAATCTGTATTTACATCCATCAGACCAAATCCACCCTCCTTCCTTATGCATATCAGTGAGTCCAATCCAGGTTAGTGACCGAGTAGGATCAAANTACTTGTAGCAGCGACCCTGGAAGCTGAACCAGAACAAAGGACAGCCGCCACGCACCAGCTTCAGTTCCTGTCCATCTGAAGGAGGCTCAGCAGCCAGAGCCAGACCAAACAGGAAGAGGAACCACATCATCTTGGAGCTCGATGCCTCTGATGTGGAGGGATCTGAAGATCTTGATGGAGTTTCTCTGCAGTGATGGATGTTGAAGAGAATCCTGGAGAGGCAAACGGCAGGCTGCTTCCTTTTATAGCACCAAGAAAAGGCGTCTGCAGTGTTGGAGTGTAATGATTGATCAATACATCAGTTAATATTTATAGGAAAATAATAAAAGCTGTACTCATTAGCACAGCCTTTTAGACATCTTATTAAAATTAAAAGTTTGACATATTCATATTTATATATTACATATTTCAGGATAACATTTTAACAGAATAATATCAAAAGACAACATTTAATTTTTTTTTATTAAAAGCTTCTCAAAATCTATATATTATATATTAAACAAGAAAACTCCAAATAGGTGCTCTTAAAATTTCTTTATCGGGTTGCAATGATTCAGTACATTAGATCCAGTTTAAATAGTTGACACAGTGACTTTAGTTTTTGAAAATTGTGGATAAATTTTCATATATTGCTCAGTAAAAAAATTAAAAAAGGTATCATGTTTCTGTATGAAACAAAATAATCAGTAACATTAATTCTGTTTGGTTCCTTCTTTAAAAAATGAGTTAAGGAACACGTGCAGGTGTGTCAAACAATTATTGTTCTCTTAATTTCCTTGTTCTGTTCCCTTAAATGTTGTTGATTTACAAAGAAACTTAATCTTTTATTGTTCCACTGAGGATGCAAAAGTTCAGGGACTAGGTTGAGTCATATATCTTAAACTCTTCAAAATAAACAATAACACTTCATATATGATCCTGAAAAATAAGATGCCAATACCTAGAAACCAACAAAAACATGATTTTTGCATCCACAGCAGAAATTCAAACTTTAATTTCCTCAATTTCAGGAAATTCTGTTTCTCATTTCATTTTCTTCTTCTATCCAGCTTCTTATTTATTACATTGAAAATCAAAGTTCAACCTATGATCCTAGAAAATGAAACTGTCCAAATAGTCAAATTATTTTGAATCCTCACATTGAATAACAAAGTTCGTTCCCTCATTCTGTT